TAATAATTTGTATATATATATATAATACATAATAATATTGTTAATTTTATAGTATTTATCTTTAAAATTATATAAAAGATAATTTTTTATTAACCATCTGCAAAAATCTTTAGATTAATAATATGTCAAAAACAAATTCATAAGTTATTCACTTCAGCTTACCATAAAATCATTTAACATTTTTAATTTTTATGTTGTAAAAATTCAGACTAAATGACTTTATTTTTAATAAAATAGGAATCTTTTGTTTTTTCTTTCCTCTTTCTTTAATTCATGTTCATGATATATGTTGCATTTCTTTATAGATTTTATTGTGAAGGTCAATAAGACAGGAGAAAAAGTATATATAGGGACAAAAACTTAAAATAAAATTATAAAAGCCAAGGAAATTAAAAAGAATAAAATAGTTAATAAATTATATATGTCAAAATGAAAACAATAGAATATTAGAGACTAAATAATTATCTATGTTAAATTTATCAAACTAAATTTTAATTAATACCGCAAATGCACAGATGTAGAGAAAATTTCCTATATGAATGAATTATTCAAAAAAAAAAAAAACAGATATAAATTATGCAATCCTTTGTATAAATAAAATCTGACTTTGTTAACAAGTAAGTAAAATCTAACTAAGGATATTTTTCGTTAATAATCAAACTTAGACATTACCTACTTATTAATTCATTAATTAACTAATGAAATTTAGTTATAAACTCCTAAAATGAATTATCAAATTAAATAAACTTATTTTGATTAAAAAAACTTAATAATTGGTCAATAGAACTTACAAGTTCACCAAATATTTATTGTCAAACACACTAAAATAGATATATCTATATAGTTTTTATTTGAATTTCTTTTATATTTTTATTTGACTTAAATCTGTTTTAAGTACATATAAATAAGTTTTTTTTATATTATTTTATTCATTAAAAAATATTTTATTAGCTTAAATCCTTGAATTTGTTTTAGTGTTTTTTTTTCCAATCCCTATCATTAAGTTTATATTTATGACTAAAAATTAAAATATCAAGATAATTAAGACAACAAATAATATTTTAAATTAAGTATAGTAGATTATCCTAGGTGCATAAATAAATAAATTATTTTATATATACTATTTTATTTGTAATTTAATTTTTTAATATATCATGAAAGTATTTTTTTCTCCCTAATATATCACAAACACAAACTTGTCTCTAAAAAATAATTTAATATACTTGAGTAAATTATAAGTGTATAAGTGAACTATATTTTATAAAAGAAAATATAATACTAAAAGTAAATTTGTGTTTTAAAAAGTAAGAATAATATTAAAATAATAAACAACAATGTACGTTATGTATAAAAATTATAAAATTTATAAAAATAAATTATGTGATTACCTTATTTATGCAAAATAATTACAAATTATGCGTCAAATAATAATTTAGTTATTTAAATTTAAAATATTTTTATTTTCTTAATTATTTTAATATTCTTATCTTATTTAGTCATATCAATATTAAATTAATAAGAAATAATGATAAGTACGTACAAAAAAGTATTAAATATTAAAATTTTAAAATTGAAAAACTTACAAAGATTTTTACCAAATAGAATCATATTTGAACCGACTTAAAATACTTATATATTTATTTTATTTTATTTTATTATTTATGATTGTAGACAACTTATTCACAAGTTGCATATCTCAAATTTATAAATTTTGAGTTTGACTTATTTAAATAGTAGAGCTTGTTTTTAGGTTAGAATTTATTTATTTAATTAAATAATGTTCAAACATTTAACGTGTTATATAAATAATTCATGAATTGTTGGATTTATTTATACTCCTAATATTAATATATGAGAAAGTATTTTTTTATTTTTTTTTATAAAAGAAAAACCTTCAATTTCAAATGTGCAATTGCCAATTGTATTTAATGCAACAGTTACCCAATATCAAAGTTTATTTAAGGAAAATGATTGAATCATTAATTATTATTTATAACCCAAAAGTTTTGGTGACTAATCACTTTCAAAACGGTTTTCAGGGTGCTAATTAAGTTGTCTAGGTTGCCTTTACCATGAAACTGTCAAAATGATAATGCAGGTTGTTTACTCATTCATCCTCAAATCAAGTCCATGAGCTATTGATTTTCAAATCTAAAACTATCTTGTGACTTGTGGTCACATAAGAGTGTGTCATTTAAAAATATTAAATATTTTAAATTGTTTAAAAAATAATTGGATGATTCTGATGTAAGAGTTTAGTAAATTATCAACATTCTTTTAATTTTGTTAGGGTTGTTTCACAGAGAAAATTATTTTAAAAAATTAAAACATTTAAAATTTTAATTATAAATAAAATATCTTATAAAATCCATAACACTATCTTAATGATGATGATTTTATTAATAGTATCTTAAAAATGATAAATAAATAAAATATTTTTATAAATTTATGTAAAAAAATAAATTTTATAATTCTGAGATGAGCTGATTATCAAAATTAATAGGGTTGCATTCAGAGTACTGAAACTTCTCAATCATAGGCTTTAATCAATATCAAATTATCTATAGTATGATAAAAGTAAAAAAAATTCTTGCTGCGTGAGAATCAAATAATCGTATTAGTAGCCATCAATTAAAAACAGAGGTTAATGATATCAACGGTAGGATCATCATATTGAACAAATTAACCGCTAAAGAAAAAGATGCTTTTGCAGCTCAGTCGTCACTAGTCAGCAATCTTAAAACTGAAGAAAATAAATAATAATAAAATAAAATACGAGGTAGGATATTTGTTTGGCCATATCCCATTTTGCAAATCACCCATTTGAGCACATAAATAAACATGTAACAAGGAAGATTGACCCTTTATGATTTTAAAAAACTTTATTCAGTTACCACTATTTGGTAGAAAGAGAATAACGCTTCTTTATCGTAACACTAGCCCACATTCTTTGCATGCAAATAGTCCACAACATATTACTGGTGATACATCATTCTTATTAACATTAAATAAAAACCTAATGAGAATTTTGAAATTTGATGAAAAAAGGAAGATTGTTATATAATAGATTCGATGGATCCACATGAAATATGCATGTGCATCTCATTCCACATGATTATAGTAGATGCATACACATATGGGGCTGAGGTAATCTCATTCCACATGATTATAGTAGATGCATACACATATGGGGCTGAGGTAGAAGGAGAAAGATAGTAGTATTAAAGGTAATGATTACAAATGGGGTCATGATGGCAACGCATCCTTCCGTATAAAATAAATGATTAAAATATCAATTAAGAGGAACATCTCCACTCCACAATAGTACTGCGCAGCCATAGCCGCCACTTTCTTATACCCTTGCCCCTTCTCCTGCCTTTCGCAATGAATATTGATTAATTTTCATAATTGAATGTTTTTCACAATTATTATCAATTTATCACCCGTAATAGTATGAGTCATGAAAAGAAGAAAATTAAATTAAAAGTCTAACAACAAAGGAAAAAAAAAGTCACAAGGATAAAGAAAAACGAACAGGTGGAGGCAAGTGAGAATAGATAAAGACGTATTAATAATTATTTAAAGTTATATATAATTGGAAGCAAAAGCAAAAGAAAGTGGTAGATTCTGGAGAGAGAAATTATATATTAAAAAAAAATACTACTAGTACTACTATATTGAAGAAAAAGAAGAAGAAAAAAAAAACATTAAAAAAAACCTAAAAGTGTAGTATATAAAAGGCACAAGGGACTTGTACCTCTGCAATGACAACTAGGGAAGAATAGAAGCAGAAATATCTAAAATAAATCTTCTTATTCTTTTATTTATTGTGTTTGGTCCTTATTAATTTTGTGTTATTTATATATGGACATGTATATGTATGTGACTTTCCAAATTCGTGGAGTGCAAATGATTCACAGTGAGGTTGTGGTTTCAAATATCGAAGCCTTGGTAGCTTAGGTTTGTGGCTTATATTATAGCGCAGTGCACACCTTAAGCAGTCTTGAAAAAGCTGCGATTTGCTCACTCTTAGAATCCTTTCCATCTATAAAACGCGACCCTGAGTCCCAATAGTTCCTCGCACTGTCTTCATCTGGATCGTTTGCAAACATGGGTGAAGTGGTTGTGAGAGAGTTCGAGCCGAACAAAGACAGAGAGAAAGTAGAAGCCGTTGAAAGGATATGCGAGGTTGGACCCAGGGGCAAGATTTCTCTCTTCACCGACATGCTCGGTGACCCGATTTGCAGGGTCCGCCATTCCCCCGCTTTTCTCATGCTGGTATATATATATATATATATATATATATATAAAATACCAATCTCTATATATATTTTTGTGCCTATATATATTTTTGTGCCATATCCACTTAGTGAGATATATAATTAAACAATCAGAAAGTGAGTATACTATATATATATATATAACTATTTTTGGTGTGGGTTAATTAACAGGTGGCGGAGATTGGAGAAGAGATAGTGGGAATGATAAGAGGATGCATAAAAACAGTAACATGCGGGAAAAGGCTATCAAGAAACGGAAAACACAACAAGACTAATGCTAAAGAGGTTCCAGTGTACACGAGAGTGGCCTACATATTAGGCCTTCGTGTATCTCCTGATCAACGGTATGTAGTATGTATGTAGGAAACTAGGAATAGGATGGTGTTAATTAAGATTTAGGCTTAGTGTGTGTTGTGGTGATGCAGGAGAATGGGAATAGGGTTGAAGCTAGTGAAGAGAATGGAGGCGTGGTTCAGAGAAAACGGCGCTGAGTACTCCTACATGGCAACGGAAAACGACAACTTAGCGTCCGTTAAACTCTTCACCGACAAATGCGGCTATTCAAAGTTCCGTACCCCGTCCGTCCTTGTCAACCCCGTTTTCGCACACCGAGAGAGGGTATCCTCAAAGGTCACCATCATTCCGCTTTCTCCCTCGCACGCCGAGATTCTCTACCGTCGCAGATTCTCCACCACCGAGTTCTTCCCGCGCGACATTGATTCCGTTCTCAACAACAAGCTCACTCTGGGCACCTTCCTCGCTGTCCCGAGCGGGTTCTGCAGGGCCGAGACATGGCCCGGCCCAGATCTTTTCCTGTCGGACCCACCCCACTCTTGGGCCCTCGTCAGCGTCTGGAACTCAAAGGAAGTCTTCACGCTCGAGGTGCAAGGCGCGTCGCGCGTGAAGCGCACGCTCGCCAAGACCTCGCGGGTGGTGGACCGGGCCCTGCCCTGGCTGCGGTTACCGTCGTTTCCGGATTTGTTCAGTCCGTTCGGGTTTCACTTCATGTACGGGCTTGGTGGGGAAGGCCCAGAGGCGTTGAAGATGGTTAAGGCCCTGTGTGGGTTCGTGCATAACCTCGCTATGGAAAAGGGGTGCAGGGTGGTGGTCACTGAAGTGTCACCCAACGAGCCCTTAAGGTTCGGGATACCCCACTGGAAGATGCTGTCGTGGGACGAAGATTTGTGGTGTATGAAGCGGTTGGGCGAAGATTACAGTGATGGTTCCGTTGGTGACTGGACCAAATCTCAACCCGCCATGTCCATTTTTGTTGACCCGAGAGAGGTCTAACGAGTCAACGTCCACCACGCCTTTTTGTTTCTCTTGTCGTTTTCTTTCTTTTTCTCCCTCTCTCTCTCTCTCTAAATATGTGTATACTTAATTTCCCAAAATATATTATCTAGTTAGAGTAATGGGAATTGAGATAATCAGGTATATGTGAATTTTTGTTTAGCTAGTTGAACGAATATCCATCTTTTGTTCTTACGAATTAGCTTTTTCGTAAATGGATGTGGCTTTTCAGATCCCTTTCCACCCAAACTTAGCCTTCCTTTCCACTCATATTTACCTATGATCTTTGTAATTTGGACTTGGCCTACTTATTTTACTAAACATATAAATATCGGAATCTATGACTATATATGCGACACTTTCATAACAATAATGGGATATGGCTTTTGGAGGAGGAGGATATGAACTCGTGGGTGAATCCCAATATACTTTTGTGTTTCGGCATGTCATGTTGCTAATCTTTTCTTAAAGAACCTTTTTTGAGGCCAATGTCTTTTGTCCTTTGATAATATGCCTGCAGGTAAAGGATCTTATCCTGCCCAACTTTCTTTCGTGACAGTTCTTGGTATATTTTCTCAGATAAATTGTATTGTAGGATACCTTCGTATAATTCTTTATACAATAGATGTATTTAGAAATAAAAAGTGAGTGTGGTATTAGATATAGATAATAAGTTAATGTGATAGAGAAATAAAATACTATTTTATATAGACAGTATAATTTTATTTCTTAACAGTGGTTTAGCGTTAGTCAAGTGGTCCCGTTAAGGTTAAATCTTAAAAGATATGTGATTTACTATATAATTTTGTGTGTATTTCTTTTTCATGATATCATTTATTATTTTTAATTAATTAAACAAATTATTTTATAAGTATCATATTTCACAAATCTTAATATGTAAGATAAAACAAATTACTACATTATATAATTTCTTTTGGCCTTTTGAGCCTCTTTTAATATGTATTTTTTTTCAGTAAACCTCTCTTAATATTTACTAGTATTGGAGGACGGATGTGATTTTTTTTTTGACACACATAGCTGCACAACAAGCGTTTTTTTTCTTCTCCCTTCTTTTTGTGTGTATGAAGAAATTTGAAGTTGTTTGATTCCGTCATTACTCGTAGGGCTTTCCGTTAAAACTGCATTGAATGATAACTTCCTCAAATCCATTTTTTTTTTTTTAAGTTACACAGGCAAATGAATATGAGGTACTAGGCTCCTAGCAGTGAGATATTGTCATATAATATGACTTTTTTTTTTGTAATTAAAGTGATACAAATAGAGACAATTATATTTATTAAATATTTATGGTTAAATAATGGAGCTGTAATTTTTTTTAACCTTTACATTGATCTCTCTTTTTCATTAGGTGGATTTTGTCTGTATAGTGTGAATGCCAGCTCTCTTACATCTCCATCAAAATTTTCTCTATTGCAAGATATTGGTTGCATGATGATTTCGCTGCGTGATGATTAGGCTGGAGAGCATCCAAATTTGTAGCCTGTGGCATGAAGACTGACTGAGGCTATGAATAAAAAGAAAGCTGCAACGACTGTAAAGATTGATAGTTTATTTTACTTATTAAAGAATATATCATGATTATCATCCATGCAGAATTATGAGAGTCTGTCTGTTCAAAATAGTTAGATTATATACATACTTTTTTTTATATATATATAACTGAATTATACACATATGTAAACGCAAATAAAATTTTGTATGCTAAAAAAAATAAAATTATCATTACTATTTTTTTTTACCATGTGAAGAAATAATAAATTCACTGATTTTGAAGCATAGAGAAATTAAATAAAATTGATCAATTATTAAAGAGAAAACAACAACAAAAAAAACAATTACTAATAAAACATGTTAAAATATAAAAAGAGAAAGTAAAAAAGACTTAAATTTATCAACACATCATTAATTTGAGAGATTTTAAATTTTATATTTTTAAATAAAATTCCAAATTTCAGTTTTATGATAGAAAAAATATGATTAATTTTTTTAATAAAATTTGTTAACTAGATTTTTCTAAGAAATTAGTCACGCGATGGTGTATTTTTTTGCTCCCTTATTTAGTTAATTTATGATTTATGGTTTTATTAATGAAAAATAGTCGCAATATTTTTTTTTTTTAAAATATAAGTGTCAAGAAAATTTCACATTGATTATTACAATCAAACATATTGAATAATATATATAGATGAAAAACACTCACTTATCTAATACATAAAATTTTAAATCACAATATAATATCAAGTTCACTTATATAATTTATTGGAGTACTTTTCCTTCTTTAATTTTCCCAACAATTTTTACATTATTTTTGTACAAATTTTATTAGTATGGTATAGCAAGAATCATATAAACGCATCTATCCTTTTTTTTATATAGAAAAAACGTACATCATTTTTTTTCTTTGAAATCTCCTTTTATATATATATATATCCTTTTTACACACTCATCATATTATTTATTATCTGTTATTTTTTTTCCTACTTTTTTCTTCTTGTATCTTTATTCTTTTCACTCCAATACACTTTAAAAAAAAGATGTATTACACTTACAATTTTCTAAATACAGTAAAAAATATATATATAATAAATTATGTTATACATTACATGGTTAATATTATTTGTAATAATTATGAAATTTTGCAAAACCAATTGGACCCCAATCGAACTACGCGAAGTGCTGTGATGTTATGTGAGTTAAATAAAAAACTAATTATGATAAGATTAATTTTAAAACAAGTGGTGATGTATTTATTCATAAACAATTTAAATTTTTTTCAAAAATTTAATTTACTAAAAGATTCAAGTATAAATTCCTTTTATAAAAAAATTGCTTTAAATTATTGTTTTTCAAAATTCATAAACCAACTAAAGAAGTTGTGGACTTGACAGAAGAGTTGGGTTGATGGGACAGACAAATAAGTACATAAAAAAAGAGAATTTTGTTTGGTTTTGTTTGTAATGTTATATTAAATAATTTTTGTAGGGATGAGGTAAAGTAAGGCATGAAAGTAATGGTGAGGGAGTCAATTATTGAGCGAGCGCCACGTGGCCAATGTGAAGACAAGTCACGGGGATTGCACTAAACTTATGAGTACTAATAACTCGCAAGTGCCATGATTTAGGAGTGTCACGAGTGTGGGACTGGCCGACGGAGTTAGTAGGAGCAACAAATTAATGTGAAGGCCAAGTGGCATTATCCTTTTTCATTACATTTTATTTTCCTTTTCATCATATCCTTTTGGGGCTTGCCACTCCCATTCATATCCTTGCCCCTATCTCTTTTGGCTAATGGGCTTTCCATTCATTTTGTTGAGACAAGACTACTAGTTGGAAAGAGATTTCTACTTGTACATCTATTTTTGGCAAGGATAACTTAGTAATTTCATAAGTCAAAGGAACTTGATCAAAAGGGTAGATGGAGTTGACTGCATACCTAGCTAACATACCTACTTGTTGATTGAAAAGTAGTATATACTAAACCTTTCATCTTGAATGGAACGCTCTTGTCCAATATAAAGTTGTAAATGGTTAATTATATAAGCTGAGTAAAAATTTTCCCGTTAATTATATAAATTTTATAAAAATAAGTTAAACCTATATTCACCTTTTTAATGTGATTTTAAAATCGACTATTGTCAAAATTATTTAATTATTTGTTATTGAGTTGTTATTCAAACTATTAATAAATATCAAACCCTAAAAATTTTACATGTAAGATATTCAATTTTTGATGTAAGGAAAGTATCTTAAATATTTTATATCGATTATAGATATAATTTAAATAAAAATAATAATTCTCATCCTACAATTTAATTTTATAAATTTAAGTTAAATAGAAATTTAATTTCTTAAAAAAGAAAGAAATGAAAAAATATAGGTATAATAAATAATATGATGAGATAAAAAAATGATAATAATAAGATGTATAAATAGGAGAATTGTCTAACGTCATTATTCCATACATTATCTCAACTTAAAACTTTAGACTAATGAGAAAATTTTATTGACAAAAATAGTTAAATTAAATCTATAGTATAAACATATTTTATCTCTTTTCACAAAGAGAAATTTTTAGGTTTAAAATGTAACTTTCTTATTATTATAAATGAGGCAATGACTATGATTTTTTTTTTAACTATCTACAGCGTGTTCCTCACCAAAGTCAGTGCCAAATCACAGCATAAATCCCACAATAAAATAAAGAGAGAAAAAAACCTCAAAAATCAAATTGGAAAATAATTAAAAATTACTGGAAATAAAAAAACTAAAAATTTTTAAATGGACACAAAATACGGGTTCAAATTATTCTTTACATATATGCATTATAAATCATGTAACTTTTTCTCTAATTTAGTACAATCTAATTCCTCTATAAAAAATCAAAATAGGAAAATATTATTTTTATTTATTGATAATTTATTTTAAAATTATTATAATTTAATTTATAAATAATTATGATAAATAAAAAATAAATTAAATAAACAATTAAAATATGCATCAATCTAATTTAGGTAGGCATGTTGATCAGCCTAGTACATTTAGTATAGTCTTTTCTGCTTCGCATTTAACCGAACAAGATTGAATTATTGGCTTATTAAATGGATCACTTTTAACCTAGTTCACGTCCACCCCACTTATCGTGTGGGCTAATTGATTGGTTTGACAATAATAATAATAAAATAACAAATTTTGAAAAAAAATAATTTTAAATCTCAAAAAAATTATAAGAATTGAAAATATGTAATTAATATTAACTATAAATATGCAAAAATATACATGAATTAATGAAATTGTAAAATTCAAAAGAAAAATTTATCTACATAAACCCAAACATTGAATAACGAAAAATAGTCATTTTCAAATATTAAAAAAGATATCAATATATACTAATCAAAACGCCAAGTAGTATTTATCTAATTAATATTAATAGAGGAAAAGGCATTCCGTACTTCTATTAATAGAAGAAAAAAAGTAATAGTTAATTTTAATAGAATCAACAAGTACTTATAGAATATGAGAATAGTTAAAAGATAATTTTTTAAGATAAAAATATAAACAGTATATAAGAAGAGTATATTAACTTTATATATCGTAATAAATTATATATTATCATAAATATACGTGAATTTATAAAATAATAAATAATATTAAAAAAATAGTAATTTATCTGGAGAT